TTCATTCATTTCTCAGTGAAACACTAACCAGTGAGACTTATTAGTCACCGTCGGGTATGAAAGTAAACAGGACTACTCATCCGGTCTATAATACTGAATACCATTCCAATCTGAATGCTTGAGGCTGCACCCGAGGCGCTCCTGAGTATGAATCCCGTATGTCGTTCCACGAGGAGACACCAATCACCGGCTGCTCCCAGTCGACTACCTGTTCGAACAATTACGAGTGCAAAAGTGTGGGCAGCTCACAGTGGTGCTGCCCCAGTGTGGGTATGTCTTTCGAGGCAAAAGTTGTGTAGGGACAATCTTACTGCATCAGTTACTTTCAGCGTCTGTTTGCGGTCCTATTGGGGGACGCCCGCTTGACACATCTATTTATTCACGTGGTTCTGTATATCACAATGGAGTCGAGAAACAGGTAAGTAGTGATGAAGTCTGGATGAATGGGGTGAGATATTTCTCACCTATTTCCAGGGCACGACTCCTTCGACACGCTTTTTCTACGACCCGGCCACTGGGAAATGCTCTCCATTCACGTACCTCGGAGCAGCAGGAAACTACAACAACTTTCTATCCAGAATCGACTGCGAACTGTACTGTGCCAGACGTAAGATTATACGGCTTTATTTTCTTCCCTCCTGTTTCACACTCTTTGCTATGTTCCAGCGATCAGTCTCCCAAATGAATCAGCCTAAGTAATGTGTAAAGTGCAACTGACATTTATTCCCTGAGGGGACTGGTGCTGGGTAATCTAAAAATGCTTTTTGAAGACGCAGCCACGAGAAGCTCAGCATTTCGTCATCATTTAAGAAAAAATCCGAATACCCGAGTAGAGTATTACAGCACCACATAGTTCGATTAGCGCGTGCACGCTATTGCATTCCTGTGATATTTAAAAGTGCAACTGACATTTTCGCCTGAGCCGCGCCCACCCTGTGCATTAAGAAAGAAAAACCATTATAAACAAAATAATAGATATAGTTCGTTTCATACCCCGCCTCCAACGTGTTTGAATGCCCAAATTTACTGGTAGCAATTCGCTTCTTTCTTGACTTCCGGGCACTTTTATTTTTACAATTTCATTCATTTTGGACTTACTCCATCGTACTCGGTACGCTTTCCCCATACTACTTGACCTCTCCTTTTTTTCCGCATCCACTTTTCGTACGAACTTTTCATGAAAAATGTCTTTTATTATCTTGTTGAGGAAAACGTATTAGTTTTTCAGTGCAGTGTGATCGAGGGAATCCGCTAAGAATCGGTGACGTCACCCAATCCTGTCAGTCAAACAGCGACTGTCCTCATCTCATGAGTGCAGAGTTGATCAGTCAGTCTGCTGTCCTCGAATGCGTGAGTGACTTAGCCTATGAAAAGGATAGTGGATCCGAGAAACGGGCCTCCTACCTGTAGAAATCAACTTTAGAGACGATTTGCAACAGCAACCCCACTACGTGTAGGGAACTGTGATCGATCAGTAAGAAGGTATTGGTATTCAGCGGCCACGAGGGAATGTCAGTCTTTTGAATACACAGGTACTGTTACCGTAATTTGTTGTCGGACTCTACTGATCGAAGAGTTTTACAGGATGTCAAGGGAACGACAACAACTTTGAAACGCTCGTCGATTGTCAGACCTTCTGCAGACCTTCACGTCAACGTCGAACATTATTAGGCTAAGGGTGCAGCATAAAATACCGTCGACAGATTTGCACGAGCTGCTTCCTCGGGCTCAGTTATGCTTTGAAAAATTTCAGCAGAACCGCGATGTCTGCAGGGTCAAGCCTATAAGGACACTTCGGGAAAGTTTGTCACGTGCTCAACCAACCGGGCTGCTTCATCCTGCCCGATCAACTACGAGTGCTACCACGACGGCAATATGTATGGATGTTGTCCCACAAAAGGTTAGGGAGATGTCTGCGTCACCGAATAGCAAAAAATTAAAGGAAATCATTTTCAGCGTTCACATGCTCATTGGCGTCAAACCAGGAAAACCTGCGGGCCAGGTGTCTCGTTCAAATTCTACTACAATGCCCAAACACAGGTTAGTCGAGACTTTAGCAGCCTTACTGATTGGTTTGGGACGCGACGGGATGGACGGTGGAAGTCTACATTGGCGCGCGTCCAACGTACCAAGTATTCAAGACCTTGAAGCTCGGAATGACGTTCTAGACAAGGTGTTCCTTCGTGTCGGGAATAGCTCGGTTTGAGGCACCTCATCGCACCAATGATTAGCTTGTGGGATCAAAATCTACCTTTCCCCATACATCTTACGCAATAGAACTTCACACATTTCTGGAGGTACACTGAACATCGATTACCTTAGGACCAATTGCATTAAACCAGTCGCTGCTCAACCTCCACAATTTTTGATTACGGAGAATGACTGAAATATCGGGTTATACCCATGATTCCTGTCCGATTTTTGATTAAATTCAAATTTCAATGAAGTCGAATTGGTGTCATTGGCGCAAGATGTTGCTAAGTTTTGACCGATTGTCAGAAGGCCCGCACGCATAGTCGGTCTCCGACAGCAACGATCGTAAGTGTCGCAGATCAATACGCAGCTACTATTCCACACTACAGTGGGACTTTCGAAATACGATCACGCGCAGTCACGTGTTGTCTGGGTTTGCATTGGGTGACCGCGTCGCCTTCCATTTGCGACCGCGGTTTATGCGACACTTGCGGTCGTTGCTGTCGTCCGACAGCAACGATCGTTGCTGTCGTCCGACCGACTATGCGTCCGGCCTCTAGCCCTAATTAGGGGACGAAAGTTCCTTTAAATTTTCTCTGTAGTCCCAACTGGGATTGTCCTGATAAAGGGCCTACATCTAATATATGTGTGTAGCTTAAAGTAAGCATGCATTGAAAATAAAGAAACAGTATCGTTCAAAACAAAAAATTTAAAGGGACTTTCGTCCCCGCAACCATTCGGGGAAGCATACCTTACGGCCCCAGAAGTTTTGGACGGTGCAACCGCATTGAGTAACCTGAGCC